GTTTCATGTTGCTGCTGATCAGTTTCATGTTGCTGCTGATCAGTTTCCTGTTGCTGCTGATCAGTTTCATGTTGCTGCTGATTTGTTTCATGTTGCTGCTGATCAGTTTCATGTTGCTGCTGATTTGTTTCATGTTGCTGATCAGTTTCCTGTTGCTGCTGATCAGTTTCATGTTGCTGTGTTCATTCGTGCTCATCTGCTCACACAGACTCATGTTCGTGCTGCTGTTCAACGTATTGTTTTTATGTTATGAGTGCTTAGTGTACATTTAGTTGATGTTTTTCTTCGTTCTTATCTTAGATGTCACTGTTTTTCTTTTACATTTTATTGTTGGATGTAACTGGGACCCTGTGAACATCTCGTTCCACCACATGAGGTGCAAATGACAAATAAATCTCTGACTAGGAATGTGCGATATGTCATAAAATTCATATCACGATATGTATTGTGAAGGGTGGCCATAACGATATATATCGCGATATGTTTTTGGTATAAAACTTGCAATAGGAATAAAAAAAGCACAGGGTGTCCTTTTGCCATCATATATTTTGAATTAAGAAAATTCCACTACTAGGTCCAGGGAGTTTTTAAATAATAAGCAAATCAAGTACTGGGCTTTTTGCTTGTAGTGCAAAAGAGATCTGTAGTTTTAGCCACATGTTTTAAACAGAAGAATATGTTAACAGTTTCCAGTCTTCTCACTTTATAAATGAACAGCAGCAGAGCAGCAACTGAAACACTTCACCTCCAAACCTCTAGTGGGCGCCTCCTGCTGCTTTAATGGAGCTGACACAAAATGAGTCTGTGGCTTTGACCAGAGGGTCTCGCAGTAAAATCACACAACACAGAGTTCTGTTCACAGATCAGAGAGCAGGTTTCTCTAAACATGACCAACGCTTACTTTAACTTTCCACGGAAAAAAAGACAAGAAAACTTTTGACGGAACACGGCGTTTTACGCCTGCGTCAGAATACGACAACACTACGGCACTACGTACTTCAGGCACAGCGTTACTGCGGTTAGCTGGTAGAAGACAGATCTATATCATAGGCTCAATTTCTATCGTTTCTACCGTGTACTGTATACATCGCGCATTCCTATCTCTGACTTACATTTCTATGCTGATGACACAGTTGTTTATTGTTGAGCTAAAACTGTTGCTAAGGCTTTCCAGCTTTTGAAATCTGCATTTAACTACATCCAGACTGATTTGTTCCGTCTCAAACTTGTCCTAAATGCTGATAAAACCAAAGGGATGCTGTTTTCAAACAGGAAGTTGGTCCCAGCAGTTCTTCCTCTGATTTTATCCTCAAATGGTGTCCCCATTGAGTTTGTTGATTCCTATAAATATTTGTGTATCTTGGTCGACTCACATCTCTCTTTTAAGCTCCATGTGGAAAACTTGGTAAAGAAACTGGAAGTTAAACTGGGTTTCTTTTTCAGAAACAGATCCTGTCTAACCCTGAACCCTGAGGAACGCCTTGTATCTGTGACTTTCCTTCCCTCCATTGATTACGGTGACATTATTTACATGAACGCTCCTACAAGAACCCTGCAGATGTTGGATGCTGCAGATGTTGGATGCTGCAGATGTTGGATGCTGTCTATCATGGTGCACTAAGATTCAGAACTGGTTGTAACTACCGTACCCACCACTGCACCCAGTATTCACTGGTTAACTGGTCACCATTAACTTCACACAGACTCTCCCACTGGTACATTTTCATCATTAAGTCGCAAATAAAATTATATCGATATTTTAATACATCACCCAGCCCCAAGTCATATTTTGGTCCGGTCTGTGTCTAAGCTTCAGTCAGAAGTTGGTCCGGTCTGCTAAGGTGACGTTGTGTGAAATATCAGCTGAAAGCAGTTTACCATCAAACCAGGAGCCGTGGAGAGCTTTGAAGGCCTTCCCGGAGTGCTCTGGAGACAGACACTTCACATAAACACAGCCCTGTGGAGACAGGAGGCCCAGTCAAACAGCTGCTGCCAACATTTGGACCATCGGTCCGTCTCTGTGCCAGGTCAGAACTTGCCTCCCGGGAGTTCTTATCAACAGCTATGTGGACGATGCCATCGTTGTCACTGCACTTCTCCAGGATGGCTTCTTGGATGGCTAAGTCCCAGTTGTCCCCAACCTCCCTGAAAACACAAGAATCCAATGACAGGCATGAAGGAATGACGTCGTCGGCTGCTGCTCGAGTCAGTTAGAGCTCTTATGATGACGATGGAGAGAGATGTTTTGATGCAACTCTCATCTAGAACCAGAGATAATTTGAGATGTACAGAACATCCAACAATAACTTTCAAAATGAGATTGGTGCAGAAGGAAGGTACTCACATGACCGGGTCGAACATATTTCTGACCTTCAGACATGGAGTGAGGCTGTTGGGAAGTGAATTCCTCCGGTCCAGAGGGAACGCTGGAGAAAAGATGGAAAGAAGAGAAACGAGGAACAAGGTTCATCAGGACATTTGTTTCATCCACAACGTGCAGGAAACGTTAGTCTTGTCCAAATACGGGCAACACATAATAAACTGAAGGTGACAGGAAATGACAACACAGTTCATTACTGAAGTACAGGTGAGTCAAGGACCTGGCTAGTTGCAGCAATGATCGTTTCCTCTAAAGCCAGCCTCTCAGTGAGCTGCAGCCCTTCACAAACTGGAAACAGCGTTCCTGAGGGAACGTCCGACAACTGTCGCTGGAGTCCAGGGTCCTCACAGGAGCCGCAGGGGCTTGCAGGCCGGTCACAGACGTCTCACAAGTGAGAGTCATGAGGATGTTGTTTGAGTCACAGAGTGAGGATCATCATGTTTTTTACTAATGATTTAAAGGAGTTGTTCAGCTGACCAGCCTGCGTTCAGACTGCACATGAGCTGCCTTCTCGTCCTTCTTGGGATGAGGTAACAGGTCGCGTGTACGGGTCCAGAACAGAAACTGTGACCCTAAAACAGTCTGGAGCGTCCAGCAGCTCAGAGACCCGCTGCTCCTTTACACAAGTTCTGGCTCAGTTTCAACATCAGCTCCAGATGATGAAACTCCAGTGACTACAGCTCGTTCAGTAAAAATCTGAGTAGTTCATAGGTTTCTGAGGAGTCCTGTAAGTGTTCACCTGGTCCTGATAAGTGACTGACCTTTTCCCTGCCACACTTTGGACTTGTCCGAGCTGAGAGAAGGCTGGATCCACCTCCAGACCAGGAAGTCCGCTCCACCCATCCTCTGAGCCTCTGTTCGAATCCTTGACTCGTTGGCTGACAGAAACTTCACAGCCCGCGCCCAAACCTTCGTCATTTTCTTCCTGCAGACAAAATGGACCTCCTGACCCGGTTTCTTCAAATACCCACAACAGTTTTTGGACTTTTCTGGACTCTAAAATAACTTTTAGGAGCATCAAAGCTCTGAGTTTAACAACGTCAAGAGCTTTGATTAAACATTTCTGTTTTAACACACAGACAAATAAATAACACCATCTGTCAGGTGTTGATCCGGTCCATCTCTAACAGTCTGTTGGGTGTTGATCCGG